CTCATGCTGTCCTCCTATAGCCCAGCATGAGTAGAGGTCTCTTTTTTTCCTCTTGTACTTTCCCATTGTAGTGTACATTTCAGTGTTTTTTTCTGTAATGCAACCGTTCTCTGACTTGTATCCCCATGTGATGTCTGTGTTGTGTGTGTAAGGTCGGGGGGCGGGTTCATTCCACTGCAGGGCAACCTGCCACTGCATGTGGCGAATAAAATTTGAACTTGAACTTGAACTTAAAATCTGGGTGAAAATCAAATCTCAGGATGTGCCACAAGTAAATAATCAGTGGACAAACGCATCAAATTCACCAGGGAGGATGTGAAAAATGACAGGCTACCCCAGGGGTCAGCAACCTGCGGCTCCGGAGCTGCATGCGGCTCTTTAGTCCTTATAGTGTGGCTTCGCGTGGTTTGGGAAAATAAATTAGAAGTATTTAGCTGAAGTGTATTTTATTTATGTTAGTTATTTTTTTTAACTTGTAGTTCTAAATTGGAAGATTATTGTGATATTGAAATATAAAAATAAAATTATATTTTATTATTTTTTCATCGCTCAAAATAAGCGTCACACTCACCGAAACGCCGTGCATTTATCAAGACTTTCAACCCCAGGTAGGCCAATTATGGATCTTCGGATCCACATTATGTCAGCAGCTCTCCACTGTGAACTATGTTAAAAACAAACACCGCTCACGCCTCACAGATGACAGCTTACAGTCCTGCGTAAAGATGAAAGTGACTTCGTACAGCCCCGATTTGCAGACGCTGTGCGCAGAGGTTCAGGAGCAGAAGTCCCATTGTAAACATCACGGCAGACCCGACGATGTTTGCATGAACACGCTTTTCAGCATCTCTTTATTGACCACTTTTCACACACGGTTGCTGACGCATACAGCCGGCTGTAGCTTTTCAGCTCACAGCCCGACACATACCAACACAACAGCATAGATAGCACAGACGTTAAGGCGGCGAGGCGTGATTGCGGGTGCCGCTCAGGTGCGTCCGCCTCCCCTGCAGCGGCGCTGCAGACCACGCCCTGCCACACACATTAACCAGGTAAAATACATATTTAGGCAGAATTTTCATCTTTTAGCAGCATACTGCTTTTTTCCAATTATTTTTTTAAAAGTCAGGTCAAGGCTCCCATAGTATGTCAATGTCAAAAAGTATTTGTGGCTCCCAGTGTTTTCTTTTGTGTGGAAACCGGGTCCAAGTGGCTCTTTGGGTCTTAAAGGTTGCTGACCCCTGGGCTACCCCGTCAGTAATGGGGGACATTTAAAGTTGATGTGTACCTGTCACACAGTGGAAAATTGTGTTTTTATATTTTATATTTTGTTTTGGATCAGACTGTGTTGGTACAGGGTGTCGATTTTATTTGCATAATTTTATTGTAATAGTGATATTGCATGTTTGTTTATTGATATTCCTATTGCATGATTTTATCTCCATATTTATAGTGTGTGTTTAGTGTTGATTGAACAATATGTTTTTTATTATTCCACTGTGGATTAAGCGGACAATTGTAGGCACCTGTGAGGTGGGGGCGTTCCCCGAGGTGGCCTATCAGCCACCAAACTGACTTAAGGGAGATAATGAGCGCAAAGACTAAAAAGAGAGAGAGACACACGAAAAGTGGAGAGCTGGAAAACAAAACGTGTGCAAGCCAGCATATGAGAAGAAGGACCTCTGGCCTGACTGTGGGGCGCCACGAGACATTCGGCGATCGGCCAGCATAACCCGGCGATCCAGTCCCGACGGACAGAATAGCGACCGTGGGAGGCGACGCGTGAAATCCACAGTAGGGCAGGGGTACGCCTCTGCCTGCATCTGTGAGTATCGCTTTCCCACTGTTGGGCGCTAGGAGTAGCTTTGCCGGGGAAGGGTAACAGCGGCTGCGCTGACAACGTTGCTGGCCCGTGTCTGTTGTTTCAGGGCGGAGCTACGAGGGAGGCCGTGCGCGGAGGTGGAGAGTAGCTGGACTGCACGATTGCGCACAGTCAGGTGGAGATAGGAGCCTCCTCCCTGGTCTTCTGCTGGCGAGAGTCCACATCCCGGAAGAGGAGTTCCTCTCCTGTCTCTCTCAGCTCAGGAGAATTTGCCCGTGTGTTGCTGGACTGGGAGAATTAGGACCCTGGGGGGGAGTTTTTAGTATAGGGAAAAACATTCATTTAGCTTTGTGTTTTTAGCGTTTAATCATTCCTGCCGGCAGGGTTTTTAGCGGGTTGTAAACACTATTTTTATTGTATACGGGGATTTTAGCTTGTATTTGGGGTTCTGACTGTGTTTTATCCTGAAAATAAATGGTGTGTTTGAAGCCGGCTAAATTTCTGTGCTCTGAGCGCTGACCCACTCACTCCCCTTTCTGCTTGTATAGGCGTGGTGGTGAAGATTTAGTTCCACCAGTTTAGCGGCTACATACCGATGCATACGGATCAGTATTTAAGCTTTGACTCTCATCATCCGCTGGAGCATAAACTGGGTGTCATCAGGATGCTACAACACAGAGCGAACACCATCCGCACAGATACAGCGGCCAGCAAAGCCGAAAAACATCATATCAATAAGACCCTGAGTAAATGTGGTTATCCCAGCTGGGCATTTGTCAAAGCTGGGAAAGCTCATAGAGAATGCGCCAAGTGATCCAGGAGAGAGGACAACTGCTGCCTAAGCAAAAACCTCTAGTGATCCCATGTGTCAGGAGTATCAGAATAGCTGAGACACATTTTCTCTAAACACCAGGTCTCTGTGGCTTTCAAACCCCAAAATGTGCTGCTTCAAAAGTTGGTCCACCCACAAAGAGTAACATAGTGTACGCTGTTAAGTGCCAGGAGGATTGCCAGGATTTATACATCGGGGAAACCAAACAACCTCTGGCTAAGCGGATGGCACAACACAGAAGAGCCACCTCGTCAGGCCAGGACTCTGCAGTCTATTTACACCTACTGGTTTGAGTGGGGAGTCAAGGAAGCCATTTATTTCAAAAGGGAAAGACCATTTCTGAATCAAGGAGGGGGCCTAAGGGCACATCTTTCATCATCCTACAATGCTGTGATTGCAGCCATTCTCCAGGTCTCTCTGTACTCCTGGTCATTGATCAATGGTCATGACAATTTGCATATTAATGATTATGGGGGCACTGTTAGTCAGTGGTGCTAGTGTCACTGATTATGCAAATATCATATAGGAAAAATGGCAGATTAGCTTGTGTAAAAGACCAAAGGTTGAGGCACACAACGATGTGTGCCGCTGGCAAAGTTTCTGGGCTGCCCTTCCTCATAACAACCATCCCTCAAGATTTTCTCCATTTAAAGCAATGGATTATCAGGGATTGTAACATCTAGTCCTTTTACTGAATTAAAAAAAAAATTCTAGCACAACTATAACCCATATTCATAAAAATACTTTTAGTAATGATACTTTACTGGCCCAAGTGCCCCTTCTAACATAAGGCTGGATGGAAAGGAAGTGTCTGGATTTCATTAAGTTTAATGACAATGCTTCACCTCTCATCCAGGAGGCTTCTTCAGTTCAAAAACAAAATTAAGAGGTTTGTTCTCCTATGTTAATGTCAGAGGTCTGAGGAGAATGGTCAAACTGCTTTGAGCTGGTAGGAAGCGAACAATAACTGGAATATCCATTTATTACAAACAAGGTAGAAGAGCATCTCTGAATGCATAACTCATCACATCTTAAAGAAGATCACACAGTACAGTACAGAGTACAATTTGAATAGAAAATGACTGGAAAATGTTGTCTACATTATTGAGACATGCAGAAATTCAGATAATAGGATCAGAATTTAATGTAAACAACATTAAGGCATCCTGCCATGTGTAATAAGCTCAGGCTGGTGATATAATGTGTGGAGGATATACAATGTACAATGTGTACCACATAAAATCTATAGACTTCAAGTCAGTGTTGATTTTACACACACTCCAGCCACTTTATGAGGAACATGTTACTAGTACCAGGTTGGACCACCTTGCCTTCAAACACTTTTAATTCTTGATGGCATTGATTCAACAAGGAAACATTCCTCTGATATATATAACCACATATATATCAGTTTTGTGACATGGCACATTATCTTGCTGGAAGCAGCTATTGGAAACTGGGTACACTATGGTCATAAAGGGATGGACCAACATCTATGCAGAATATATAGTCACTTACTTCTCCTGTCTTCACCATTCTAATTTTTGATTTGAACTTTAGCAGCCCGTCTTTGCCATGTTGTTGCCATGTGATTGGCTGATTTGACATTTGTGTTACAATCAGCTGGGTAGGTGTACTTACTCTACACGTAGGAGACTGCAAATAGATAGACAGTGTTCTGAATCTGTTAACTGGGTATAATTCTGTCAATTCTTGGGAGTAATAGCCATACATAGTATTGAAAACTACAATTTGAATATGGCCATTACGTATTTAAATGTAGGTTTTGCAAATGTATGTAACAGCTGCAGTGGAGCAGTGTATTAAGTATACAACTTGAGTAAACCTTAAGTGTGCTGACACGGCATAAAGCGAACAATCCTTTAGTTTCACCTTAGTTACAGTTTTATTCACTGACCTCTTCAGTGTTCACACATACGTTATAAACTGTATGATCATTCCTGATTACAAGCAAACGCTCTTTATTACATTACCCAACAACACCTCTTCAAAATCAGATTCTGAGCCAGAGCATTACTCTTTCTCTGCTTTTTTGGGTCATCTTTTTTACAGGAGTGAGGAGAAAGAGCAGAACTTCCCCAGATTAAAGACCAGCACCCAGCGAATGCTTAAGTCTTTATTTACTGTATAATTTTTGCTTTCCTTCACTGTTTTACTGTGTTCACAGTCTTTTGCAGCTAGTACAGTGTCTTCTATAATACACACAAAGTAATTGTGATACATGTTATACATTAATTATGTCACGCAGTCATCATTTTTTTTTTTTTATTGAGTTTATTCCCTTTAAAGATGCACTTTGGGATTCATTCCCTTGATCACACTGGACTAAATTCTCATTACAGACACAATGAGAATTAGATTTCCTAAAATAAAACTAGAAAATGCACATTAGGCCCTGAACACATATAAGAAGTAAAGGAGAAAAAGCATATTTTCACCTCTAATTAGGTATGTTGACAGAGGTCAGCTTCAGTGTTCTGGATGGATTTAAGCAGAAAGGTCTGACTCTTGCGGTTCAAACTGCTGGTTTGAGAGAAACTTAGGTCTGTTAACTTAAAAAATGTAAATAAACTGCAAATGAAGGCACCACTTTATCACTCCGCTCTGTTCAGTGCTTACTACTAACTCAGAGATGCTTTAGCCTGATGATTTTAGATTTAAAGCAGCAGATTTAAAATCAGAAATTGTGTTTATGTGTGTGTGTAATGACTTTTGAAAGAGCCCTGAATGTGGTGACATGACAGCAGTTCAGTATGTTCAGGTAAAAAAAAATTTAAATAATGAGCTCCGTGTGCTAAAAAGATAATATAGCTGGGTTAAAGATTAACAGTCACTGTATGAGTCGGCGCTGCAGCTCTTTTGTTTTTCAGACCTTCACCATCAAGCTCAAAATGACAGACTTTGGAGAGATTCTAAGGAACATTGGGGAATTTGGATTATTCCAGAAGATCACTCTAATCGCACTTTGCTTTCCAAACTTTGTTCAGACTTTTCTCTATGCCAGTTTTGTTTTCATCCAATCAGATCCAGACAGACGCTGCAGCACAGACTGGATCCTCAGTGCTGCTCCTAACCTGACCTCAGAGGAGCAGCTTAACCTGACCGTGCCTCGGGAGGAGGATGGGACCTTCAGCAAGTGTGAGATGTTTGTCCCAGTGAGCTGGGACATTGATACTATCAGAGAGTACGGACTCAATGAGACCACAGGGTGCCAGGATGGATGGGTGTATGGGAACATGCTCTACAAAGCCACCATAGTCACTGATGTAAGTGAAATTTGTTGTTCAGTAGATCTCTCACCTCCATGAAACATTACATTAATTATTTTTTTGTTTTATTATTGTTATTGTTATTATTATTATATTTATTTTTTTTCACAGTTTGATCTAGTGTGTGGCCAGGCCAGCTTGGTGGAAGTGATTCAAGCAGTATTCATGGCTGGAGTTCTTGTTGGCTCCCTCATGTTTGGACCTTTTGCTGAATCGTAAGTGTGCTCCTTGCAGTAGTTCATGGTTCCTTTTGCACCGAAATACAGAAATATGGCAGCTTTTTACGGAAAGGCAAGTGAATACAGTCCCTCCACTCCAATACACACACACATGAAAACATCTTCCTCCATTATTTTGCAACTTCACAAGCTCAGTCGTATCAAATTAAAAGATATTGTTTGCACTAACAGTCTAGACTGTACATAAACATCTTCATCTTTCTGCACTCCTTCCTGGCTGAAAAATTGTAAAATATTAATACTTCTACAGTTAAATAAATAAATATCTGCTATATTAACAAAAATAATTTACTATTAGCTGAAAAAGATGAGTGACTGAGAAATGTTTCAAACCATTCCTTTAGGAAAAGAAGCAAATCTTGAAAATACCTCTATACACATAAACCTTTATTACTGTATAATTGTGCATAAAATATTACAAGTCAAAATAATTATTCATATTTATTCTGCAGAAAACTGCATTAAATGAATGAGTTCAAAAACACAGGCCTTTTCAAAAAAGTATATTAAAATTTCCATGCTCTGTATTCTCTACATCACATGCGTTGGTCACGTTCGCAAACAGAAACCCACCTGTTACACAGATAAAGCATTGAAGCTCATTTGCTTGGTAATGCTTACTATGTTTCCATACAGAGTGTAAATTGTAATTGACCTCAAAGCAGTAAAAGCAGAGCCAGCAGCAGCTTGCCTCACATGCTGGTTTTTCATCAGGTTACTGTCAGACCAGCTGTTTGCACACGTGCATAGCACCAGAAAAAAGGGAGGAGCCTTTCATCTTACCAAGCTGAGGTCATTGTTAATGGAAGCCAGACGCAGCTGTAAAGCAGAGAGAGCCACAGTTTTGTGTGCGCCCGATGATTCAGCAGCCTGTAGAACCATCTTGAGGAGATAACTTGAAGAAACGTCTGTGTAGGTTTCCAGCCATCCAGCTCATAGTAATCATAGTGACCTTTATCTTAGTGACCTATTTATTTTTTATTGTGGCTGGGTTTAAAGGGCACTGGGATGCACTGGGATGTCGTGCTTATAGAAGGTTCTCAAGAAGTGCACATCCCAGTGTCCTTCAGGCCCATGCACACACTCAGACAAAAACTGGTTCATCCCAAGGACAAAACTCCCAAACACAAACTAAACAACGTAGTGTTAGGCAAGGAGTGCAGCAAGGAGTGCTCAGACCTCTACACAGGAAAAACCACAGAGCCACTTCACAAACCCATGGCACAACATAGAAGAGCCACCTCTACTGGACGAGACTTAGCTGTACATCTGCATCTAAAGGACCAAGACACATGGTTTGAAAGAGGAGTGAAAGAAGCCACCTATGTCCACTGTGAATGACCATCTTTGAACAGAGGGGGTGGCTTACTGCACCAATTCTCTGCTAGCTACAATCCAGTTTTGAGATCCCTTCCCAGGTGCCTTAATGCCCACTCAAATCTTGCGTCAGTTGATCTCAATAGGTCACATGATAGGATGAGGCAAGGTCTCACATGGTTTCATCCAAAACCTCTGCTGATAATGACACCACACTCTTTTTTACACCTCAGCTCATTTGCTGAGGCACGTGTTCAATAATGGGTCAACGACCACCTTAATTGACAACTCCCAAGGCCTAAAATCTGGGATTCTCCACCATTCGCTCTTAGAACTGAAGAAGAGAGGTCAAACATCAGGTTGAGGTCTGGACTGGGCCATTGCAGCACCTTGATTCTTTTCTTTTTCAGTCATTCTGTTGTAGATTTGCTTCTGTGCTTGGGATCATTGTTGTGTTGCATGACTATTTCAGCCAAGCTTTAGCTGTTGGACAGCTGTTGCCCTCCCGTTTGACTCAAGAATGCTTTGGTATGGAGAAAGGTTCATGGTTGTATCAACGATTGCAAGATGGCCAAATGCTGTGGCTACAAAACAATCATCGTCACTCCTCCACCGCTGTGTTTGACAGTTCGTACGAGGTGTTTGTGCACGTGTGCTGTGTTTTTGTCTTGTCTTGTTTTGTTTTGTTTTGTTTTGTCTTGTCTTGTCTTGTCTTGTCTTGTCTTGTCTTGTCTTGTTTTGTTTTGTTTTGTTTTGTTTTGTTTTGTTTTGTCTTGTCTTGTCTTGTCTTGTCTTGTCTTGTCTTGTCTTGTTTTGTTTTGTGTTGTGTTGTGTTGTCTTGTTTGTTTTGTTGTGTTTGTTTTGTTTTGTTTGTTTGTTTGTTTTTTTGTTTGTTTGTTTGTTTGTTTGTTGTTGTTTTTTTGGGGGGGGGGGTCAGTAGACAGGATAGAAGGGGAAAGAGAGAAGAGGAAAAGGGGAAGACATGCAGCAAGGTCACCCTCAAAGGTCACACTCAAACCCAGGCTGCTGTATTTTTAGCCATAAGACAACCAGTGTGCTAAACTGCCTCCTGTTTCAAAGGTCTTGTAGTTTTATTCAAATATAACTTTGCAAATATAAGAAGCTTATCTCTTAGCTCTGGTTCCCTACCATAGTGGTTTTATTTCTTCATTCAGCTGCCCCTGTCAAGCAGTTTAAGTAATTTAATGTTGTGTTCTGTGTGTTTTATGTGTAATTTATTAGTTTGTTTTTATATGTTGCATGTTTGTGTTGTTTGCATGCTCATGACCTTCTCCAATTAAAGGAATGTCTTGTACCTCTATAGGCCAGTAAAAAACTCGAGATGTGGCCAGTACAGGGAGAGACTCCAACATGACTGCACAGAGTCCCATAAAAAACTATTTTTACATGATTGCATTACTGTTATCTCTGTAATGATGCTACATTAACCAGCAGCTCTTGAGATTTAGTGTGCTTAGTATCATAACAGAAGCTAATGTATCCCTGTGTGTTTGTCTTGGTGTTTCAGGTTCGGCCGCAAACGAGCAACTCAGATTCCAGCAGTTCTGTTGTCTGTATTCACCGTGACAACAGCTCTTTGTCCCAACGTCTACTTATATTTAGTATCTCTGTTTCTGGTGGGATTTGGAGCTGGAGGATATCGAGTCAACAGCATCATACTATGTATGAAGAGTAAACTAACTTTGCACAAACTTTGCAACTAACAATCGTTGTAACTGTAAAATAATCTGCCACTTGTTCTCTCAATAGCTAAGATGATGTTCTTGTAATGTTTTAGAGGTCCAGCAAGGCTGTACTGATCTGATATTTTCCAAATTTTTTCCAATTTTCTAATTTTCTCAAATTTTCCATTTACACTTTCTACTTCCGCCTCTTCCCATTTATTATTTTTATTGTTACTTTTATCTTACTGTTGCCTTTGTGACCGTTTTACATATTTAAATTTACATACGAGACAAAAGATGTACTCTGCTGGCTCTCGGAGGAGGCGGACGCACTTTTTCTCCTCTCCTCTCCCTTATCTTCCCTGCTTAGTTCTTATGTCCTTG